ACTACTACTACTACTACTACTACTACTACTACTACTACTATAAAAAAAAAAAAAAAAAAAATCGTTATACTATTTGCTGTTATATTAAAGTTTTTCTTCATTACCCATTCAAGCCGTCTCAAACCATCGTTAGTCTCAAAGTTGGTTCCTCGTCATCGAATTTGAAACCATGGCATTAGTTTTTAAGAACAGTGTCCCCACAAAAAGCTACCTCGGATGAGGTCAATTTCAAGTGTAAAACAAAGTCAGAGTGCATATTTTGATATTTACCGGTCAATAGTGCCATGAAGTTATCTTAACTGAAAATAAATTATCACGATTTCACTATTAATCTATTTCAGTTTTTGTTGTTGTTGTTGTTTTGTTTTGTTATATCGTTTCAAATATCCATTTAACAGCACATTAGATTGTGATTTCACTCGGGTAAGTTTCTAAAGTCTCTCTATATAAGGATTTTTATTAAATTTAACCCTAGATTTATGAACCAAATTCTTTATGTGCACATGATTTTGTTAGTCACATGATTCTTAATAACACACAAAATGTAACCAAATATGCCATCAACATTATAGTTAATTATAACAATTCCTGCTAGGTTTCCTGTACATTTTTACCTCGAAAATTGTTAATTTCTTAGACAATCACTCATTATAATGCAATAAGCAGACTCCGCCGTAATGAACATTATGTAAAAAGTCAGTAATCTGAGGGTTAAACTTTCCCAATATAACGTTCTTCATCTTAACGAAATATATCGAATCAATCTGCCCTCCAGTGGGCTGATTTTGATCTAAAAATCGGGTTTCGATATCCGTGGTGGGCATAGCACAAATAGCCCAATGTGTAGTTTTGTGCTTAACTACAAACAAACGAATCTCTCTTTGTTACAGCTTAAATGCCCCCCCCCCCCCAGTGGCACACGGCATGTCTACAGACTTATACCGCTAGAAACCGGGTTTCGATACGCGTGGTGGGCAGAGCACAAATAGCCCATTGTGTAGCTTTGTGCTTGATAACTAACAATAACAATAGCATTAAACGATTGCTACTCACTTAACAGAAAACAACTGATAAAAAGAACCTCTCTATTCGTTGGGAAGCCACCAGCGGGTTCGGCAGAAATTATGTATACGGACTTACAATGCTAAAATCCAGGGTTCGATTTCACGCGGTGATCATCGTGGAGGTAACTCATTATGTAACTTTGCGCTGACAAATTAGAACATTAAATGAAAACAGCTGAGTAGCCTTGATACAGAAATTTAAGGGACCGGGGTAAGGAATAGGGTAAGCGACCCCGGACTGTGAATCCGAGGATTCATGATTCGAAAAGTACGCGCTCTGCACTTTCAGGCCCTAAGTGCGCTCTGGATCAGAGAAGGGTAGCCCAAAATATGGCGGTGGGTGCTGTTGACTAGCTGCCTTACCTCTAATAGTCTACCAGATCAAAATTATGCACGGCTATACACAGATAACCCTTACGTAGGGGTTTGCTCAAAATTGTAATATCAACAAAAATACAAATAAAGAAACGCTCAATTATAGTTATTTTGAATTACAAAAACCATATCGTAGTAACAAGTGCTATAATATTCAACTCTAATTTTTTACTAGTGTTAAATCGTATTTTAGCTTTGCTGAAAACAGCAATGAAAATATTTTAAGCTACATTTCTCAAAGTAACCAACAGATGGCAGGACAGTAGAAGCCCTACGATAAAAAAATAATTGTTTGTAATTATGCACAAAGCTACACAAGGGCTATCTGTGCTCTGCCTACCACGGGTATCAAAACCCGGTTTCTATCGTTGTAAGTCCGCAGACATACTGTTGTGCCACTGGGGGGCTAAATAATAATAATAATAATGAAATAAATATATCACTGATAACAAGTATTCCGTCAGGTATTTAGCAAATATAGAATTAAATTTCATTTTAACACTTATAAATTTATTTGTTTGGTTGGTATAACAGGTTATAATAATTCCTGACACTGTTTAAGTTATCTGTTTTATAGCTTTTAAAGACTATCGTATAATTACTTGTTTGTTTGTTTCCTGTTTAAGCCCAAAACTACACAATGGTTTATCTGAGTTGGGCTCACTGCAGTGATCGAAATCCTATTTTTAATTCTTTAAGCCCTCTACCTTAGTGCTGAGTCACCGGGAGACCCATATAATTAAAAACTGAAACTCACATTAATCATTCTAACAAAATAATTTTAGCCTTAAAAAAGCGCGCGATAGTCATTGTTCAGAGAAAAAAAAAAGTTTAAATTTTTTTTCTTTAAATAAGGAAATTGATGTCCGATATAATCTGAGTATAGTCACATTCAAAGTGTAAAACCAGGCTTCCCATATACTTTAGCACTTCGAAAGTAAAGCGATTTAAATCTTTACTTATAATTCAATATTTTTTTCGGTATTGAAAACTATTAAAAAGGAAGGCTGGAGATAGGTGGGTGATAGGGATATATATCCGAGAAGTTTGTCAACACGGTGATAAAAAATATTTATGACCCTCACTTTATATTACACTCACACAGTTAAAAACTTGCCCACGGCCCTGCTTTTACTTGGATTAATAATAACGTGTTCTCTAGCTGAAATGAATTTTTTCTAAATTAAAACCTAATAATTATTTTTCTCTAGAATAAAGAAAATTAATCTCTCTAACTGTTTCTTTCGTCTACTAGAAACGTGATGATACTCCTTATGCATTATGAAAAATTTATTATTTCTGATAAGAATGAATAGACAATGATTTTCAAACTGTCAGGAAATTATTTATGACAAACAAAACTTGACCGACCATATCTAATATTATTATGAAAATTTGTGATAATATTATACGCATCCTATTACTATCCCTAATAAAGCCCTAATGGCGACACGTTGGCTGAAATATAGTTGTTTTATTATTATTATTATATGGAGAGTAAATGTCTTTTTTTTTCTTTTAACTTTATTACTAAAATCCTACAATTTCAATGTCAGATTCAATCTGTATTGTTCACGAACAAAGCAACGAGTTCACCAATGTAAATAAAATCATTTCAATTGTCACTTTTAAGAAAATTAATACTACAGATATTGTTGTTCAATAGAAATACTTTTCAGAGTTCAACAATACGTTCTACAGATCTTGCTCATAACGTTTGGAACGCCTCAATTTCAAACAATAAGTTCCCCAAAGGTCAATATTGTTGTTTCTCAAAAAAAACGCTTCTTAGTATCATCCGATGCCAGGATATTAACTACTCATATATAGTTCTAATAATGGAATATATGCATACATGTTTTGCACAACAAATATAAACGGCTTTCGCTGAAAGCAATAAAAGTCATGATTTGCGCAATCCCTCCGCCTTGCCTCAGTGTTGACGACATAACTGTTAGTTTACGATGCGCACTGGCCGACGATACGCTGGCGTATGGAAGATTTTATTTTTCTTGGCTGTAACTGTCCCACGTACGATCTAGCCATCAACCATCCTTACTTACCTCATTCTGCTCCTTTGTGGCTTCTGCTCATTCATCTAATATCAGCCATACAAGTCCGAAGGATGAAGGAACCGGAAAAATCGGGTTGTTAAATCACGTGACCACGAGAGCGGGCTAATTTACATACGGCCCTCGGACAAAGTTGGTCGGGAACGGATTCGGGACAAAGGGAAGTGGGCATGCGGATGGGTGTAATACAAGATGTTAACAACGTAGGGATCTAAACCATGGTAAGATTGAACCGTTATGTTTAATATTTCATGATTTAGGATAGCATATCTAAAATATTTCGACAATTCTGTTTGAGTATTCTATTTTACCAAAAGTTTGTTTCTAAAGGAAAGAGCGTCGTTGTTTTTGTTGTTAGAATACCGTCAGGGAGTTTTCTTTTTCCTTCCCTTCTACAAGGAGAGGTTGTGCGGAAAAGATAACTCACGGATACTCTTCTCAAGTACTTTTAGCAAAATATTTCAACACTTCTTGATAATTTTGTTTTAACATTGTATGCTTTTCTGTACGAACTTTTTGTTTTGTAAAAGAAGAAAAAAAAAGCATCAACAGAAAAGATCCCTCGTTTACCTCCGCGGCGCACGGCAGCGAGGCAAGGGCAAGCCCTATCGCTGTCGGGGTCGGTCCCTAGTGACAGCCATGACAGCTACAAAGTACACGTGTTTTCTGTGAGGCACGGGATGAGGCTTTAGGGTTTTAGTTGTAGAAATTCGGCATTTTTGCGGGTATTCTGTAGTTTTTGTTTTTTTCTAAATCAATTTCGGTTTGTTAATCTTAACCATAAGTGTTTACGTTCCTCACCAACTTTGTGTTTGCAGTAATTCCAGTCATTTTGCTAATATCAATGAACATAACAAGATAGGTTTTATTTTTTGTACATGTTGGTTGTTAATTTTGGAACTACGAACTTTAGGTCGTATATTATCTCACATATTTTTATTTTTTTTTGTATATTGCATATAGCATTGAGTTAAATTTTTAATATTGATTAATAGAGTAAACTTACATCAAGACAGATTTTTAACAAAATTTGTCAGTTCTCGTGCGGAAAGACATCAAACTTCGTGCGTGCATAGAAGTTGTTGAACGCCATCTTTTTTTTTTTTTCACGATGGAAAATCTGAAAAATAACCTAGAACAGTAGAAGATGAGAAGGAAAAAAAAACAGATATGATTCATTTTTACTTTATCTTTGATTTAAAAAAAAAGAGTTTAAAACTAAAATACGTGGATATTTAACCATTTAAATAAATAATGAAACGGTTCCTTTTTTTTACCATATTAATGATATACTCGGTTGTAAGTAATGCAAAAAAAAATGTGATGAAACCGTGAACACGTCGGATAATATTTACATTAGGTTTTTAGTTCTGGGTTTATCAAGATATCACACCGATAACATGTAACAAGAGCTAACTAACATTTAGTGACTACGAAGGCAAGTTCGTACTGTTGTATTTGATTGTAATCGATAGGAAAGTCTTATTTCAGTTCTTTTGTTCATCAAATCCAATAAGTCTCCTAAACTCTAAGGCGATATATGATTCTATTAAGCTTGTTCTTTAAGTATATTTGAACATTAAACATTGTGGTATATCTACTATAAAATAATTTTCAACGTTTATTTTTTTACTCCAACTTTTTTTTTTAAAACTAATATGTTTTGTAAAAACATATTGCTGTTTATCATTAGCAGTAGCAAAATATTTTCCTGTAAGCTAAATGTGATGTTAAATTACTGTGAATGTGTTTTGGTGCTAAACTGCAAACTGAATGTGGTGCACAAGTTCAAGTATTAAATTGTAAAAATGTTTTGGTGTCAAAGTACAAAACGTTAAAAATGTTTTGGTGTCAAAGTACTAAACTGTAAAATGTTTTGGTGTCAAAGTACTAAACTGTAAAAATGTTTTGGTGTCAAAGTACTAAACTGTAAAAAATGTTTTAGTGTCGAAGTACTAAACTGTAAAAAACGTTTTGGTGTCAAAGTACTAAACTGTAAAAATCGTTTTGGTGTCAAAGTACTAAACTGTAAAAATCGTTTTGGTGTCAAAGTACTAAACTGTAAAAAACGTTTTGGTGTCAAAGTACTAAACTGTAAAAACGTTTTGGTGACAAAGTACTAAACTAAAAACGTTTTGGTGTCAAAGTACTCAACTTTAAAATACGTTTTGGTGTCAAAGTACTCAACTTTAAAATACGTTTTGGTGTCAAAGTACTC